CCCTTTTTTTCCCAACAACATGCTCTATCTGTAAAAAAGTCAATGCATACTATAAGAGAAGTAATCATGTTCTTCCTCTTATTTGTAATGTTTGTCCTTGTTATCCCCCTTTATCTCTCATGCTATACTTTGTGTTTAGTAGATTTATTTGTTGTTTTTTTCCCTGTCCAAAAACAGTCTATAGCTTCGGTCCTGACAGTAGTAGAAGGATGAACAGTTGGGAAGCATTTTAAAGCTGTATCCATTTAACAAATAATTTTATGTTTAATCTGAGTTCAATTTGAAATTTTCATCAAACTACTTGAGAAAAACATGGTACTGTTGGAAAGCATTTTAAAGCTGTATTAAATCATTACAAGTGTTTAGTCGGAGCTGAATTCGAAATTTTCTTGAGGCTAGATAGGTCTAGAGTTAGAGTGGACGAAGACATAGTCTGTGCCTGGAGGCGGAGAAAAATGGAGGCTTACCTCTCGTGCAGGTCTTGGGTGGGTCTTTGTTCTTGGAATCCTCCATTTCGTGTGGCTTCGTGGCTTGAAAAGTCTTAACTGATGTTTACATCTACGTTTCTTGTCGCGGCAAACATTGGAAAAAAATCAAGCAAACTTCAGGGGTAACTAGATCAACCAACGTGTGTGCACAGCTGACATCTAAGGCTGACTGACAGAATAACAACGGCTATAGGATGGCTGATATTTTTAGATTGGGAATTTCCAATTTCCAAGCTAATAAGGAGTTATTTTCGTAATAGGAAATGTCCGGTAGTCCTATCGCTTTGACAGTGCTCTTTCTATTTTATATTTATATAGGAACGGACACATCCAAAATTAGTTTTTAAACGACTTAACAATATTGTGGTGCTAGTAAACTTCCATCTCCTGCGACTGAGCAAGGCATGTTTTGGTAAATAACTCTCAGCAGGATGTTTTAATTCGATCCCCTGGTTCTTTGACTATGCGTATTTCCCCACCACGACGAGGGCTATGAAGCGCTCGTCAATTTTTAGCCTAAAAATTTGGGCATAATATACATTGGTATATCTTGAGGTGTGTTCATTTGTCTTGCTGTAGGTGAAAAAAAAGTCCGTCTATCTCAAATAGCAGTTGAAATAATAATTTTTGCACTTGAAAGAAGGCAAGGCCCGGTCGCCTTGTGTCAGAGGTAATTAATTAGCGAGATATGTGAACGTCAAGTTTGGTGAATTACAACTGAAGGGCTTGAGAGTCCTTGGAACTGCAAATTTACATTTTAGTACCTTTGATCAACATTTTTCAGTAAAATCCACAAATAAACGTGTTTGTAAATGAACATATGGTGTTGAGATTATCATAATATAACCATAAAATAAGCCCAAAGGGTGGGAAAATGGCAGTTTTTTCATAAGTTTCTTCGATTTCCTAAATCTGACGAGCGCTTTATTTCATTACGACGATACATCACGGGTACTGCCGTCACTAATGTTAGAGAAAATTTACCATAACCCTCTTGAGTTCTATACTTTCGTCTAATGTTACAACTTCTTCTATAATTACAATTAATTTCTTCTCTGGCGTCTTTCAAACAATTGATCGTTAAAACAAACTTCTGGATTGGCTTCGCTTGACTTCCATCAGACCATGAACTATAGGTTTTAGTATTATTAGTAAGAGTTTTACGGCTCTTGCAACAGGTCACAATTAGGTCATGAAGTGCTGAAGAGATATTACACGAGAGTAACAAACACGCACTCACGCAAATTAGAAAATAATAATAAAAATAAGGCGAAGACAGTACTTTTAACTCCAACGTCAAGTCTATGCTCCTCTACGGCTGCGAAACTTGGAAGACAACGAAAACAGTACTGAATAAAGTCCAGACTTTCATCAACAGATGTATGAGGAGTATTCTAAGAATTAAGTGGCAGGATAGAATAAGAAATGAAGAACTGTGGGAAAGGACAGGACAAAAGG